TTATTATTTTATTATTTAAAATAATTTAAATTATAAAATATTTTTTAATTAAATATATTATACACTTTTTAAAAAAAATTATAATACTCATATAATACAACAAACTAAAATATTTTTACTAATATCTCAATGAAGGTAGAAAGTAGAAGAGATACACTCCACAGAATTTTCTCAGAAATTACTGGAAGGAACAAGTACATTGGTACAGCCAGGGATGTGGACGCGGAATCAAATTTTAAAATTCTAAGTTCAAACAGTAGTGCACAGCTTACCATGTAAGTACTACAAATTATTGAGAACTTTAATGGGACGTCCTTTTTTTATTTCACTGTCTTGTATTTTATAGGGGCGTCTAGTACATCACGTGTGTCTAACATCTTTTAACTTATACAACGTAAACAGTCGAAAGTAACCCCTATAATTGAAAAAAAAACTGCTCTATTGCTGTGTAGGTGTCAGATCGGATTTCAAATCACATTTCAAATTTATTTAATGGTAACGAGGGATGCAAATTGCCCCCTCTGCAAACTTCGTTCAAATTTGGCTGTCTAAATCTTCAGCGCCCCACACTCAAGGACAACTATCACGTTCACCGTCGGTGCCTCGGTGGCAACTTTAACTTTAATTATCCCTTTTAAAAAAAAAAAAAAAAAATAGGCGATAGCATAGAACTTCAATTTTTTTTTTTTCGTAAAAATTAATTAAAAATAATATTAATATCTGCTAATAGAAAAACTCAAATCGTTCAAGAGATGCAGATCACCTACTGCCCAAGGGCAGCGTGCTTGGACCACATGGAAGTCTTTAATTATACTTTAGCACGTGAATCGTGATGAATTCCACTACATGGGTTTTTTTTCTTTCCGTCTAAGCTAAATAGTTTTCTTTGGTCCTTAATTTTTAGCTCAAAGTATAAGTTGGTCCTCAACCTTCACTTTGTTAGTTTTGCGTTAGAACTGTAAATGAGTTACGCTACTGTAGTAAAATTTAAGTTGGACCTAACTTCACATGAGTTTAAATTTGAGTTAAAAATTCAAAATAAAAAATAAATATAATTAAATTCAAATTATAAATTAAATTCAATTCAACTTGATTCAATTATGTTAAAAATTAATTATATATACTAAATATTTAAAATCATAATTTTATTTATTTTAAATTTTAAATTA